CTCCCCTCCCTCTCCTCTCCTCCCCTGTCCTCTTCCCTCCCCTCCCTCTTTTCTTTCCTCTTCTTCCTCTTCCCCTTCTCCTTTTTCTCATCTCCTTTTACTCTCCCTCCCCCATACTTCTTTTCCCTTTTTTGAGGTGGGGTGTCACCATGTTGTAGATGTAACCAACCATCTTATTAAATAAGAAACACAGAACCAGTGTAAAAGAGAAAGCCAAGAGGTCAGAGCTCAGAGCTAAAATCTTACCCTTCCTCCTGCGGTGGTCCTACCTCCCCGAAAGAGAGCTACTTCCTGTGTGTATGTCTTTTCATAGTCTTTTTGTTCTGTCTTCTCATTGGTTGTAAACCCAAACACGTGACTGCCTCATCACTGCCTGTAAGTACCGCCCCCCAGGTCTTAAAGGCATATGTCTCCAATGCTGGCTGTATCCCTGAACACACAGAGATCTACCTAGCTCTTCTACCAAGTGCTGGGATTAAAGGTGTGAACCACCACCACCACACTCTTGCTATGGCTCTAATAGCTCTGACCCCCGGGCAACTTTATTTATTAACATACAATTAAAATCACATTTCAGTACAAATAGAATACCACCATACCATGTAACCCTGGCTGTCCTAGAACTTGTCATGTAGACCATATTGGACTTGAACTTAAAGAGATGTACTTACTCCTGCCTCCAGAGTGCTCAGATGAAAGGTATGTATTGTTATGTCTATCTCCAAAACAGATGTTTTAAACAAGAGTCTTATTGGACAGCAGTTCCTGCAAAGAGCTAGACATTGTAGGAACTGGAGGATGGCACAGTTAGGGCTTCTAGGACATCACAGGGTCCAAGGCTGGAATAGCCAGAGGTTCCTGGATATGGCAGAGATGCAAAGCTGGCACAGGTTAGGATTCCTGGACATTTGGGGGATGAGAATCTGGAACACTTAGTATTTAGAGCTTCTCATTGTGCAAAGATTCCATACATTATTTCAAAGTCCCTATCTGAACACAGCCTCCTCTAAGCTTTACTGGAAAATTTTGGAAAATAATTTTAATGTCAAGGGGTACCTTAAATATGAAAAATATACACAAAAAAGGTTTTTTGTTGTTTTTAATGATAGTTTAGATGATTTCTTAGAAAATGCATTATCTGGGAATAAAGTACACATTTTGTAATTCAAGTCTTTGAGACAGTGAAGGGTTCAGAAATATAGATAAATACAGAAACTTTGACTGAATAACTACTTTGACCTCCCTATGTTTCATTTCCATGTCTATTCAGTTGCCTTTGTTATGCAGCAGAAAAACATATTCAGTCCTTAACTTTCAGGGGCTTGTCAAGTTTGGTCTGTAGCCTTCTCTTCCTTAGGCAATCGTTCTGTTCCCCAGGTGTTGCTGATTTTTCATTTCTGCTCCACACCATGTACTTCCTGTGGGTAATCTCATCCACATCAAGCATATTCCCTCATGGGTGGCTTTATTGATGCAGATGGAGAGCTGTATGCTGTATTTTGACCTCTGGGGAAGGCTGGGAACCAGCTGGGCTTATATTTCATAGACATCCTTTACACTGTTCTATCTTACACTAAATCCAAGTCATACTCCACCTGTTATTGCCCTGCTGACAAAACCTCTGCTTCTGCTTCTCATCTGATAATAAATAACAATCTCCTGGCTGAAGCAAGACAGGGAGGGTTTATTATTATCTATACGCCATGCCTGACATCTCTGTGGATCTCTCACACCTCCAACTTCTTTTCCCTTCTCTCTCATTGCTGAACTTGTGAACAGCAGCCCTAGATGACTTATCCAGGCATCATCCTGTCCAGTCTCTCTTCTTCTACATTCTTTTCTCCTACATATGCTTCTCTAGCACCGTAACACTGTTCAAAGTACAAAACAGTATGAAATGGGAAGATTCTCACTTGTATTTAAGATCTAACTCAGAATGAGATTTTCTGTAGTGCTCTATGGTCTTTTGTCTGAGTTAGGCTGGTTTCAATGTCTCTTCTCTGTGTTTTCAGGTCACCATCACACACCTGTATCACTGTTCTGGCATACAGTGTTCATTTGATTATCTTAGAAACATGGCAACTGAGTTCAAGGATGAAGGTTGTGGTATATTAATTTCTCTGGTAGGACACATGGTTGTAGCTCACTAAGAGATACAGAATTCACAAGCAAAGAATGAATTAAGGGAAGTTGGAGCAATTACATTTTCCTCCTTATTTTTAGTTCTTCAAAAACTGGAAGGGTTTTTAATGACCCATTTATATAAAAGGACTATTTGATCAAAGGATTGGGGTTAGATTAGATAGTCTGTTAAAAGTTCTTTTCAATTCCCTCCTGGTAATATATATATAGGATATGGAGGGTTATCTGAGGTGATGGTGCAAACAAAAGAGCTAATGCAATCCTAGGTTGTATTAATAGAGGAAAGAACACTATCAATTCCCAAGGAATAATAAGCTCCCCATACTCAACACTGAAAATCACAGTAGAAGACTGCAATTAATTCCAGGTGCCTCACTGAAACTGAAGTGCACCTCCCTGACACCTGTCCATACTAGAGTGGTGGTTGAAGGTGCTTTACATGTTCATGGGGAATGAGAGACAATAGCACAGAAGCAAGTCATCCTGCATTTAAGGTCTGCTCTGCCCAAGAGGAACTGAACTGATTCTATTCAGCTTTCATAACTAGGCTTTTTAGACAAAAATTACCCACAGAGTATATTTCAGTTAATTATATGTAAGAATGTCTTGGCAACTGGAAAAACTGCCCTTTATTGCTTATTTTTATTAAGAAATTTTTTATTCATTTTACATACCAACCACAGATCCCCTCTCTTCCCTCCTTCTGCCCCTCAGTCCCCCCACACTCCATATTTCCACCTCCTTCAAGGCAAAACCTCCCATGGGAGTCAGCAGAGCCTGGTGGTTTCAGTTGAGGCAGATCCAAGCCTCTCCCCCTGTGTGAGGTGTTCCAACATAGGCACTGGGCTCCAAAAAGCCAAATCATGCACCAGGGATAAATCCTGATCCCACTGCCAGGGACCCCTTAAACAAATCAAGCTACACAACTATCATGCTTATGCAAAGGGCTTAGTCCAGTCCCATGGAGGCTCCACAGCTGTTGGTCTAAAGTTCATGAGTTCCCACTAGCTTGGTTTGGTTGTCTCTGTAGGTTTCCCCCTCATGATCTTGATGCCCCTTCCTCAGAGAATCTCTCGTCTCTCTCTTCGACTAGACTCCTAGAGCTCAGCCTGGTGCTTGGCTGTGGATCTCTGCATCTGCTTCCATCAGTTACTGGATGAAGGCCCTATGATGACAGTTAGGGTATTTTGTAACTATAATTACTGCTTGATAATTTTGTTATATGTAATTTTACTATGTTAAAGTTAAAACCTTCCTTTTTTAATTAAACCGAAAAGGGAAAATGCTGTGGGATAATGCTCTTGTACACTAGTTTAATAAAATGCTGATTGGCCAATAGCAAGGCAGGAAGTATAGGTGGGATAAACAGACAAGGAGAATTCTGGGAAGAGGATGGCTGAGCCAGGAGACACCGGCCCACCGTCCAGGGAGCAGCATGTAATGGCACACAGGTAAAGCCACAGAACATGTGGTGACATATAGGTTAACAGAAATGGGCTGATTTTAAGTGTAAGAGCTAGTCAGTAATAAGCCCAAGTTAATGGCCAAGCAGTTTTAATTAATATAAGCCTCTGTGTGTTTATTTGGGTCTGAGTGGCTGCAGGACTGGGTGGGACACAGAAAAACTTTCAGCTACAAATAACGTCTTTCTGTACGCTGTGAATATGTGTTGCTCTGATTGGTTCATAAATAAAGTTCTTTGGCCTATGACAAGGCAGCTTAGAGGCAGGCAGGAAATTCAAAGAGAGAGACAGGAAGAAGTCAGAGGAAGATGCCAGCAAGCTGCCCAAGGAGCAACTTGTAATGGGATTCAGGTAAAGCCCTGAAACGTGGTGATACATAGATTAATAGTTGTGGGCTAATTTAAGATATGAAGTCTAGCAAGCAAAAGGCTTGAGCCATGGCCATGCAGTTATAATTAATATAAGCCTCTGTGTGTTTACTTGGGGCATACAAGTGGGAGAGATTTGTCCTGACCGCCGCTGGCAGTCCAGGATACAGGAAATCTGGCTATAGTATTCACTGATCTGATTGCTGAGGTAAGTCAGTTCAGGAACAACTGCCTTTTATATTCCAGTGATTCTCAATGCTCAAAGTGAGCAAGAAGCAAATGACTATTTGGTACGTAGAAGGTCTCCTCACATTATAATTTCTTCTTAGATGGTGACCTTATTTTTTTCATCCCCTAAAAGGGCTCAGAAAGAAATGAACTTGGGAGTGTATCAGAACAATTCAGGTAACAAGGAGAAAGAAATTCCCAAAAGACAGTAATATTCATGACTAGGTCTACCAGAAGCCTAGGGAAATTTCAATTGCACATTAAATAGAAATATGCTTTAGACTGTTGTACCCAGATTGTGACCCCCAGAGAGACCACCAAAGATGAGCATACCAGAATGTAAAAGCAAAGCTTTAATTCGGGATATCCAAGAACAGTACAAGCCTAGGCAGTGACTTTGTCTAACACATCCAATGCAGTGGAGGCTGGAGGAAGTGCCCAGCCTGAATTGTGCACAGCTTTTAAAGGCAAAAACCACAAGATTACAATAGCAGGGGATTTCTGATTGGCTCATTTCTAGGGACTTTCCAGAAATCATAGTTTAATCTCACTTCTAAAGGGATGGTTGCCCATCACTGTTTCTCATTGACTGCCCTCAGATAGGGACATTCTGTGGTTAAACAATCACCATGGAGACCAGGTTTGAGACCTTCCATGGTCACACAGTCACCATCAAATGATTAACTTGTTGTTCTATAAAAATGTAGGAGCTTTGGTCTCACAAGACAATCATTTATTTAAAAAACAACTTATGCTCAGAACAAGAGGAAGTAAATAGGCATGCTTTTATGACTATAGGTTTTATTTGGTGTTTATAATGTTTTCTTCCATGGCCAATCGTTTTCAGCATGGATGAATTTTAAATAGCATAAGCAACACTAAAAATTAGTTAGACAGAAAGGAATAGGAGAGTTCAGTGTTTTATTAATTCATCAACTGTATTAGTAACTAAATATATTCAGGAATTTGTGTTTGTTGCAAAATAATTTCAGTAATTATTTTTCTAAAATACAGATATTTATTCATCTTTTAAAATCTGAATTAATTATCATCAAACATTTAAATATTTTTAAATGTATAAAGGCTTTTTCAACTACTTGTAATTCTATGTATGGCATTTCTGCAGACAGTTTCATTTTAACAAATCAACAATTGTGTCTTTTACCTTGGTAGTGGAATATAACATCCTAACTGTGTGTGTGTGTGTGTGTGTGTGTGTGTGTGTGTGTGTGTGTTTACAGCTTTCTATATTATCTTTGCTGCATGCATACAATTTCAATTATCATTAATAAGAGTTATTCTCATTAATGTCAATGAATCTCTTAAGGTTATCCTAAGGTGTGGAAGTTTAATGAGTACTTAATGAGAAATCTAGCTCTTTTGATTAGGAATATCTATCATGTTTCAATATGGGTAACATAATGTAACCTAGAGTTGCTGATAAAAATTTGAGTCCCAAATAACCTCTTTTGTTATTAATTATGTGTGTGAAAGGCACTTTCTGTTCACAAAGTTATGACCTTTCAATTATCCCATTAATACTTGAAGTCTGTTATTCTCAAAAGTAGTTCATTATTTAAATTTTCATATAGTATATGACATTTTGTGTTACTGTTATATATAATATTGGAAAATACATGGACCATGTTTCATAGGTATTTAAAGCTGCATTAAGAACAGAGTGTTTTTACTAGTGAT